TATTTTGCCTCCAATCAAAGTGTATGTGGGGGTACTGTTATATTTGTGTGATATAATAATAAAAACCTGCAAAACTGATACATGGCAGTACTGTTATATTAAGGAGGCAATATTAAATCAAAATACTTAGGTTTTTTGCACTTACTAATGTCAGGATTATGAACTTTCCTGTAAAAATGGAATTCATGTGTATAAGAAAACAAAAAAAAGTATAACCGCTACTTGGACCCTACATTTCTGTAAAAGTGGTTAGACCAAACATCTTAATTTATGTCATTTGCAATACCCTGGGATGTCTAATTTTAAAAATGCTATACCATCATGGGGTCATTTTCTTTTCTGGGCAACCATACTCTCTCAAAGGTAACAAAAAAAAAAAAAATCACTTTGTCAAATTTACAAGCTGAAAGGGGCATCTATCTAATATATTTGGCCCTATATTTAAACACACAGATTTTATTAAGTAAAATTATGTTTACAGGATTAAAACATGGCGTGCATATCACCATTGTGGTGTGATTGCATTCTCAATAGGTTTGTTCCAGGTAGAGAATAAAATGAAACCAGACAAACTATTCCAAACGAAGACTAGCCAATCATGGGTTGATCCATTTAATAAAGGGACACTATAGTCACCAGAACAACTACAGTTTATTGAATTTGTTATCTTCAGGCTTTTTGCTGTAAACAGTGTCTTTTCAGAGAAAATGCAGTGTTTGCATTACAGCCTAGTGATAACTTCACTGGCCACTCCTCAGATGTCTGTTAGAGATCCTTCCTGGGTCATGGCTGCCTAAAATGCATCCAATCATTCAGTATCTCCTCCCTCTGCATGCCGACACTGAACTTTCCTCATAGAGATTAATTGATTCAATGCATCTCTATGAGGAGATGCTGATTGGCCAGGGCTGTGTTTGAATTGTGCTGGCTCTGCCCCTGATCTGCCTCTTTGTCAGTCTCAGACAATCCTATGGGGAAGCATTGTTATTGGCTCAGGCCACCACTTCTGATGATGTCAGCAGGCTGTGGGTAGGTCTAAAGGAAACAGGGATAAACTATGCAGATTCAGGCTTGAATTCAAGTAAGATTTGACTTTAGTTCTAGAGGCATAGATTGTGGTTTTAACTCTATAGGGTCAGGCATACATGTTTGTGTTCCTGATCCTATAGTGCACCTTTAAATATTGCACTATGACTCATCCAAAGTAAATCCAAAAATCAATATGGAAATGTGCAGATTTTCCGATATTCATTAACCTAATACTTTTTAATTACCTGCATAAAGTATGGTCTTAGATATCAAACATCACCCTATTTATTTAATAAAGTGGATGAGGAAATTAGAAAACCAGTTAGTACAAGGACACAACTTATTTTTTCAACAATTATTATCTGACTCTTGCCACATAAATTGATACAGCATTGTATATGCAAGGCCGATGCAAGGATTTTTGCCACCCAAGGCAAAAGAAAAATTAGCCACCCCTTCCCCCCCATGTGACATCACAATGCCCCACCTATATGATCTGCCATATGAACTAACGCCAGTGCTGCACACAGTTTATGTTTACATTAAAAAGCCTGCAGGGACAGGCTATAGACACCAGAACCACTACATTAAGCTGCAGTGGTTCTGGGGACTTTAGTGTCCCTTTAATGTGAGGTAAATTAGAGATTAGTGCCAAGAATAATATACTAGATTGCCTACTTACAACCAGATGAGGATGATGATGGGCTCTGACTGCAGTCTGGCTCCACTGGTCTGGTGTAGAACAGGCTCTCTGGAGGCTGTTTGTAACTGTGGTCACAAAATTCAATATTCTAAGAGAACGGGAAGAAGCTCCATTTTTTTGGGGCCCCTTACACAGCTCAAGGTCTGGGCCCCAGGGCCGGATGGTGAGTATACCCATAAGGCCCACCCATAAGTCCACCTACATGTTCCACCCATGAGTTCGCTCACAGGGAGTGCAGTGTGTAGGGAATGTGTTACGTGTTAGTGTAAAGGATCAAGTGTGTGCTTATGGAATGTAGTGTATAGGGATACCAGTTTGTGTAGGTGATGCAGTGTGTGTGTAGTGGATGCATTGTGTTTTTGTGTAAGGGATAGAAAGCAGTGTGTGTTTGTGTGTAAGGGATGTATTGTGTGTTTCTGGTTGTGTGTAAGGGATGCAGGGTGTGTTTCTGTCTATGTAGGGGGTGCACTGAGTGTGTGTAAGAGAAGCTGTGTGTGTGTTTGCGTGTGTATAAGGGATGGATTGTGTGTTTATGTGTATGTGTGCAAATGATGCATTGTCTTTGTGTGGTAGGATTGCATTATGTGTGTGTGTGTGTGTGTGTAATGGATGCATTGTGTTTCTGTGTGTGTAAGGGAAGCATGTTGTGTTTCTTTGTGTGTAAGGATGCATTGTGTGTTTCTGTGTATGTATAAGGATGCATTGTGTGTGTGTGTGCGTATTGTGAAAGAGACAGTTTTTGGGGTAGGATAGGGGCTGCGTCCTACCAGCCCCTTTGTGCTTCTCATTTCCCCCCTTTCACCAGCCTCTCTCCCCGCCTGTCCCTTAGCTCTCCCGTGCCCCACTGTCCCCTAGTGATCTCCCTGCCCCCTTTCTTGTAGTGCTCTCACCTCCTGTCTCTTAGACCTTCTCTCTTCTGTCTCTTAGAGCTCTCCCCTCCTGTCTCCTAGTGCTCTCGCCTACCCCCCCGCCCCCCCATCCCTTGGTGCTCCCCACATCCCTTAGTGCTCTCTTCTGTCCCTGAGAGCTCTCCCCTGCCCCTGTCCTATAGAGCTCTCCCTTCCATCCCTTAGAGCTCTCCCCTGCCTCTTAGTGGTCTTTTCTCTATCCCCCCCTCCCCCCATTAGTGGTATCTCCTCTTCTCCCTCCCTTTCCATTAGTGGTCTCTTGTCACCCCTTTAGTGGTCTCTGCTCTCCTTTGCCCCCTCCCCTAGTGGTCTCTCCACTCCCTCCTTAGTGGTCTCTCCTTCCCCCTTCCCATTAGTTGTCTCTCCTCTCCTCCCCATTTCCATTAGTGGTCTCTCCCCTCTTCCACCCCTTTCCATTAGCGGTGTCTCCCCTCTTTCACTCCTTTCCATTAGGGGTCTCTCCCCCACCCTTCCCTTAGTGGTCTTGTCTCTCCCCTTACCCTCCCTTAGAGGTCTCTCCTCACCCCACCCTTAGTGGACTCTCTCCACCCCACATCTCCTCACCACGCCCTCCCTCCCACATTCTCCTCTGGCCCGCCCTCCTTAGTGGTCTCTCCTCCACCCCCTTCCTCCCTTAGTGGTCTCCCTCCCCACGTTCTCCTCACCCCCCCTCCCTAATTTAGTGGACTCTACGCTCCCCCCCTCCCACATTATCCTCAACCCCCCCTCCCATTATCCTCACCCTCCTTAGTGGACTCTTCCCTCCCCCACCCCACATTCTCCTCACCCTCCCTCTGTATAGAGCGCTCAGACGGCTACAGCATGAGAGGGGCTAGCGTATAGAGCGCTCAGCGGCTACTAGCGATGAGGGCGCCTCCTACTAAGTGGTGCCCTAGGCAGCTGCCTAGGTCGCCTTATAGGAAGCGCCAGCCCTGTGTATATGTGACAGGTCCATCTTTATGAAACAGAGTTTACATTGTTTAGAAAATCTGTAAAGTAAAAAAAAATAAAATAATAAAGGATATATTACCTGCCAGAAGAAATGGAAACTGCCCCAGAAAAGGTCAGTTAGGGAGTTAAAATAGTAATAAAATATTGTTAAATATATAACTTAAAAGTGTAAAAAACATAAAGTGACAATATAAATCCCACATTTAACCCTTTAGGAAATTTAGTATCTATCAAACAAACTTCTCATATGCTCTGCCATTTCAGCAAGCCTGATTTTAAACCTTTTCTGCCTCACATGAGAACAGCACTCAGTCCACCTTCAGCTGATCCAGTTGCCATAAGCAATTCTGATTGTAAACCTTCCCTGCCTCACATCCTAACAGCACTCAGTCCACCTTCAGCTGATCCAGTTTCCATAAGCATTATGAGAACATTATCAACATTTAATGCTGCACATTTAATGTCATTGTATTTTACCCATCTGTGTATAATTTTATTTTATGTTTCTCTAATCCCATTTACCTGTCATTGTAACACCTATTGCAATCCGGGTGTGTGTTTTGCATGTGTGTATGTGTATGTATATAGACATACACACCCGTGTATATAGACACACACCTTTAGATGATCCATATGTCATAAGCAAGTTAGCCTTCTGAGAGCATTATCAACATTTAATGCTGCAATGCTTTTCTTTGGGGATTTAACTGACACTGAGTGTCCTCATGTCCAGAGCGTTAGGATGTCCAGCGTCAGGTGACCATGCGTCGCCTAACAAGCAAAAAATGCCTCCATTGGCTGTCTGATTGACAGCCACTATATAATCTTGCAATGTAATTGTTGCAGTTTCTCTAAAATGCATATATGAGGCTGAAGAACAGAATTGGAAAAAAGACTTCTGATTGTATCTTTTTTTTTTTTTTTTAATAGGTTTTAGCTATATTGCCTCTCCCTCACTATTATTAGGATGAGGGAGTAGATATGATCCTTATTTTAGGAAGGTGGCAAAGGAATTGAGGAGGGGGCATACTTTTATTTTTTTTTTTGGGGGGGTGCATCCACCTCCCTATTTCATAATTTTGTGCCCCCATTCACAGCCCCTTCATATTAATATTATGGCACCCACTTGCCTCACATAGATGGGATTTGATGAGGAAACTATATACCTGTTGTGCCTAATCATTAAATTCATGAAGCACCAATATCCAAAAAGTAATAATCAATTACCTAATAAGGTTTATAGCAATGTTGGCAGGCACACAACCCAGTTCGAGATGAGTGTCTTGGGCTATAGGAAAAAGAAACCACACAGAGACCAAGTTGCAGATAAGAATTCACACCACTTTATTGTCCACAAGGGGACCCAATACAGAGTAAGCTTAATTCTCATTAAGCAGTTGCATGCATTCACTTCAAAACAGCTTAGCATCCGGATATATCAGCTTAAGTATACATCACTATTAGAGGGGTTTTGTTGTGTCCTCACTGCACGTGACTGGGGGAACTCTGGCAGTCGGCATGGAGCGACCCTCTCTGGGAACAGCAGAGACCAGCAACACGCGTCCGCATTACAGGTGGGTAGTTCTCCAAGTGAGTGCCAAGTTTCTCCGTCTTTTATACCTTTTAGCAAGTTTGTAACTTTTCCAAGATTTCTTATCAGTGCATCCCAGCATGTATCTTGTCATGCACATTAAGTAATCAGTATGGTTGATCAGGCCAGTCGTGACCACTCAAGCCTCATGCCAGACACGTGCGGTATCTTATTCTATCTATGTCCCTACTCTTATCTTTCCATACATTTGTTGGCACCAATTCCCTCTGTTCATCACGTGGGCCTTTTTGGATATTGGCCAGACATGCTATGGAATATTCCAGGCAATGTTGAATTTCTTAGTGCTACACAGTTTAAGCATTTTATGCAATGTCATCATAGCTGAATTTCTTAGTGCGACACAGGTTGAATTTCTTAGTGCGACACAGTTTAAGCCAAGTGTCATCTTAACTATCTATGATAGATTAATTTGCTCATTAGTGATCCATCATTCTTAATTAGTTAATTGGATTTTATCACAATTATCACATTTCATCCCTTGATCACTAAGTGAGCAAAACCTCACACATTTACGCATGCCATTCAGGTTATCAGCAGGGGGCAAGCCCATTTTCCCACTGATCCCCATATTGTTCCATTCACACCTGGAACCAATTCATGCAATAAAGCTCTTCGAGTCGAGGGTCACCCGTAGGACATGCCTCTTCCCGTTTAACATCTCTAATCTTAAGGGCATCTAACCTATCTATAAAAACATTTGTCACTCTTCTAAGTCTATCCTGGCATTTGCTTTACATGTAGCTACTCTTTGAATGCAGCAAATTGTAAGTTTGTAGCATAGGTAAATACAAAGTATAATAAAAACACACCACACAATTCCCTTTAATATTTTCATCCGAAGTCCTCCTATCCATGATCCTATACCAAATGTCCAGTCAAAGTCTTGTGTAGTATTAGCTAGCCAGTGTTCTAAGTTGTCTGTGGTTAGTGGTTTTCTAAAGCGTTTTTGTATCTCTTCTAAATGCTGAAGCTCATGCTTAACTTTCCCTGATTTATCTTCTATCCACACACAACATGCCTTGCCTCCTATTCTTTTGCATACTCCTCCTTCTGCTGCAAGCAAGTAATCTAAGGCTATTCTGTTTTGCAAAGCTACCTGTCTAATCTGTTCTTGCTCATAATTAAGCAAACTGATAGCAAGTCCTGTGCTATTAAAGGCATTGTCAATAGTATCAATTAAAAGATTTAAATTAGTTATCATCATTCCCACCCCCACCATTGGAAAGAGAGAGACCCAAAACTGCATGTTTCTATCCATTTTAAATCCTGATAAGTCGGTGTCTCGCTTTTGCCAATGATGATGGGTGTTTTCAGGTAAAGTTTTAGTAGGTTAAATGGCGGGCATTCCCAAGGTACAATCAATTTTCATTTTACATGGGAGTTTTTTATAAGCCAATCTCCCACATAGCCAATAAAATCCTCTTGAAGGAATGGGGTGATTTATACAGCTTACATTAGAACGTTTAAATTTGAAATAGGTACTAAACACTCCTGTACCTACTATTTTATGCCACCATCGACTTATAGTCTCTGCCTCGCCTTCGCCAGGACATACTTCCATCTGTCCTCAGTTCTTTTCTCGCCATTTTCCGTCCCATTAAAATAGTCAAAACTCCATCCTGTGTAAAAAGGGGATAATGCCATGGTATTTACATAACTGCTAGGTCGGACGTTCGGTTGGTAGTTACGGTCAGTGTAGTATTTTTGGTAAACATTAATAGTCACTACTTCTTCTAAGTCGTCAGGGTATTCCCATTCCCCCATGCGCAGCTTGACTGCACCTGGTCTGTCCCTAGTATCTTCACTTAAGGAGATCTTGGGGACCTCACTTGTGTCATGGCTTATTAGAAAGTAAAAACCAACATTATGTCTGATGTACAGCAAGTCTTTTTTCGTCAATACTTTAGGGAAATAGGGGTACCCTCTGTCATGAGCATGTGGCGTATGGCCACACACCCAACATGCTTTACATAAATCTAAGCTCTTATATACATTAGCTGCTGCCTTAATAAAGTGATTGTGTTCTTCCCAAGGCAAGAGGTGTCTGTCTGATTTAGGGGTGTCAGAACAAGTCGTCATGGATGTCCTTTGAATTTTTAGAAGTAAATACTAAAAGGTATCAGGGGTGCTGTTAGTGCAGCAGTAGGTTGCACCACTATTCTCTACAATAGTGTATGTTCGCTTTGTGCTTTGCTGATTTGCGTAACCTACCCAATATTGGGTAAGTTCTTCTAGAGTTATATTAGAGTCAATATGTGTATATAATATGCGGCAGCCAAAAGGTGTTGCAGATTCTAGCGTCAACATATCAAATGATTCATGCGGCAGCTTAATATAGTTCATCGCCTCAGTGTCATTGTGGCTAAAATAGCCTTCTCCATACAGGCTTGCCCTCATGTTTGGACAGTCATTAGTCAGGCAGGTTACTCGTATCTCGATCTCTTTCACTTCATCTCTGCGGAATCACTCTGGTCCCAACCTCCAATCTCGTTGCTGGTATCTGTACCGACCGAAGGGTGTAGAAGAAGCGCAGTCATCACAATAACAGCCGGACCAATGAGCTTTGCCTGTAAAGATACAACTCTCAAATAACATTTGCCCGAAGGCACGTATTCCCATTTATCTTGTCTTGACTTGGAGAGTATCACAGTGTTGTCATTGCCTGTTGCAATAATGTCTGCTGGTTCTGGGGGACCTTTCTCAGTCCTCACCCAGACTTTGGCCCCTGGATTTAGGTTAGTAGAGCCAAATCCCTCATCTCCTCTTACTGTTTGTAAGGTGGGGGCCGTTCCTTTATGTACCTGTCCCTGGTAAATGGGGATGATAACCAATTGGGCTATTCTGTCCCCTTCTTGCACTAGCAAGTCTTGTGGTCCCTGATTTAACAGAAGGACCTTTATTTCTCCTTGGTAATCTGCGTCTATAACCTGCGTCACATTACGTGTATCCCTTTAATGGCGAGACTAGACCTAGGTGCAATTAGTCCAAAGTGTCCCGGGGGTATTTGTGTTCCTATACCTGTGGGGAACATCTGAACTTGCCCTATTTGAAGTCTTTCTTCCTTTCTGGCTCGCAAGTCTATTCCTGCGGCCTCTGGGGTAGCCCTGTATGGGGCCAGAGCTCCCTCTTCTATTTCCCAATATGTGATGATGTTACTTGTTACATAAGGTTTTGCTTGTATATTGGGTGCAATCATTCTAGTGAGGGGAGTGTCATGGTCTGAGAGTGGCCTGTTGTCAGGGCCGGTGCAAGGATTTTTGCCGCCCTAGGCAAAAGTAAAGTTTGCCGCCCCTCCCCCGTGACATCACAATGCCCCACCCATATGACCTGCCATGTTAACTAACGCTAGTGCTGCAGTGCCGCTGTGTTTACATTAAAAGGCCTGCAGGGACAGGTTATAGATACCAGGACCACTACATTAAGCTGCAGTGGTTCTGGGGACTATAGTGTTTCTTTAATGTGAGGTAAATTAGAGATTAGTGCCACGAATAATATACTAGATTACCTATTTACAAGCAGATGAGGATGATGATGGGCTCTAGCTGCAGTCTGGCTCCACTGGTCTGGTGTATAACTGGATCTCTGGAGGCTGTTTGTAACTGTGGTCACAAAAATCAATGTTCTGGGAGAACGAGAAGCAGCTCCATTTTTTTTGGGCACTTTACACAGCTCAAGGTCTGGGTCCCAGGGTCCACTTTCATGTTCCACCAATGAGTTTGTTCACAGGGGGTGGAGTGTGTAGGGGATGTCCTGATTTGTGTGTAAGGAATGCATTGTGTGAATCTGTGTTTGTATGTGTAAGGGCTGCAAGGTGTGTTTCTGTGTATGTAAGGGATGAAGTGTGTGAGTCTGTAAGGGGTGCTTTGAGTGTGTTTAAGGGGTGCTTTGAGTGTGTTTAAGGGGTGCATTGAGTGTGTGTAAGGAATGCATTGTGTGTAAGGCTTGCATTGCGTGTGTGTGTGTAATGCATTGTGTGTGTAATGCATTGTGTGTTTTTCTGTGTGCAAGGGGTTCATTGTCTTTGTGTGTGATTGTGTGTGTGTGATGGATGTCAATCTCTCCCCCCTCCCTTGTCACTCTCTTCTCCCCCTCCCTTATTACTCTCATTCCCCCTCCCCTGTCACTCCCCCTCCCTGTCAATTTCTCTCTCCCTGTCAATTCCCCTCCCTGTCAATGTCTTCCCCCCTCCCTGTTAGTTCCCC